CAATTATTACCGCATTTATTTGAAATATTTATTTGCTCAGTGATGTAAACGAATAACAGCAACTTTGTTTCAGAATTATTAATCAAACCCTACTTTTTATACCCTAGCGGGAAGAATTCAATTTGCCACGAAGCGTGTAACACTCAGAAGGTCTATGTCTGTATATACTTGTAGGCACGATAGTCCCTCGGTTTATGAGATACCGATCTGAAACTTTGAACATTTTTTTTCTCTCCAAGAAGATTGCTCATTTTGGAACTCTCACTATATGGAATTATTATTTGACAAGATATCTACATAAAATTTGTCAGAGATTCTTATATATTATATTCTTACATAAAAACCGACCGATCAAAATACAATTACAGATATTCAGAAAAGATATTTTTTTCTTATTAAGTAACCTTAATCGACCTGAAAGTTGTTTATGTTGTTGTTGCAGAATTCTGCCGAGTTCACAGCTCTTTGCCGGATAAAATGCGGGTCCGTTCAAGTTACGTACAATAGATCCGACTGTCGTGGGAACGGAGATTGTTTATGTCAAACAACGTGGCTAGAAACAGCTATCAAAACGTTTTCCTTTGGATGAAAACCGTTAGCTGGGTATCTGTTCCGCTACATTTTTACATATAGTTGCCATAAGAAATGTCCCTGTGAAGGGTATTTTAACTTTCTTGCAGCCGAAGTTAAAGTTTCATTTGTTTTAAAAACAAATTAGTAACTGTTCGAAACTCCAATTTTTATTAAAATACCCAGAGCTTTTCTGAGAGTCTTCTTTTTCTTGCAACAGAAACAGACCCACTTGTTAGAGAAACCAGCAGAACAAAGATCCGTTTCTATGTATCGTAAATTTATAACAGCTTCCATTCTAAATGAGTATATAAATATGCATGTATGTATAAATTTAGAAACATTAACAATAACAATTTAATACCAAATTTTATTTTACATTTATTTATAGTTGCTGGGACAATCGAAGCAAGAATTCACAAGCAAAGTTTGCCACTTCAAGTGGATTTGCATTAAACGAGAACATGAAAATTCACAAATCGGCCTGACCCACTTCAAATGCGACAACACTATTTGGGGTTTTACAAAACAAATACAGGAAGCATGAAAATACACATACAAGTATTCATACCTATAAACAGACAGACATACACTTTTTTAGAAATACATACATGCATATATAGATATATGGTATACTTGTACTACAAGTAAATATATAAGTAAACAATACCTATGGTAGTTTCACAGGTGTGCGCCCAGGGTACTTTTCTCCAGAAAAAGGAAAAGGTTTCGAAATTACCAGCTTACTACTACATTTGCATTTACAGTTATGTAGTTTACTCGTTTGGTTGGGAAAAAGTATAATTTTAGTGTGCAAACCAAATGAATATGTAATAGTCCCTACCTCTAAGTCTAGCCATATGCAGTACATGTATGAGAGTTTGTGCGTGTGTTTGAGCGATTTTCCACATTACCCTTTTATCAACGAATCTCAGTTGATTGCTTATTTGCTTCAGTGCATTCAATTTCTACTACTGACTCGGTTTAGGTTTTACTTGTAGCTCCACTGATTTTACTTGTTCTAGTGATATACAACTTTTGGGAGACTTATATACTTACTTTAGGGTGGTACCTAAAAGTCCAGAAATCGAAATTTTTCGATCCCAACCTATCTCATACGATTTTTGGTAAATTTTTCAAAATTAATTTGTAGAAATAAATGTTTAACCGATTCCGAAATCGTTAGAAAAGGGTTTATCAGCGTTCAAACTCAGACTACATTGAATAAAATAAAAAATTTTTTTTTTTTTAACCTATTGTAATATTTAAACTAATATTAACGGACGACTATTGTCGACAAACAACCAAACAAAAAATTTAACTAATATAAAAAGTATCGGAGTTTGGTGTTTTGTACGGCAAACTTTATTGATATCTAAGCAAACCAGACATTTTTGTTTGACTTCACCGACTAATTGGAATATAGGAAACAACATATGTATATAAGTTTTAAATAATTGAGTCTAAAAAATTTATATTTGAAATTTTACCACACACCAGATGCCATATAACCGTCGAAAGACAATTAAGACTCAAATATATTTGTGATAGCTTCGACTATGCGAAATAGCACCAACCGAAGAAATTTGTATTTAAAAATATGCTCCCTACGTTTAAGAACCACCCTAACATGCAAAATTACAAGGTGAACTTAAAGTTGATATTCAAAAACTATGCCAATGCAAGTATACACATCTACACAAACACGCTTATTTGTAAATACATAAATACCGTAGTATCGGCGTAGTCAAATTGTGACCCGAAGCGTAAAAGGTTATACTCGTACAAGTCCCATTGCGGGCCAATGGCGTCACCTGCGGGTTATTGAAACGAGCACTATGTACCTGTAGAAACACACATGTGGATAAACCTAAATAATTACTAGATATATATATATATATACGAGTATGTCTCGTGCTAAAAGAACAACATCACTTTGTACTTAAATATTTTGTGCAAATATATATATTACAATTAAAATTTTAACCGACAAAGCAAATGATCAATTTACGAAACATATATGCAATATACTATTGTAAATTAGAAACTGGTGGACCTTTTTGTGAAAGGGTTAAATTTACATGCTCTCAAGGCATTATTTGTTGGCTCAGTTACAGCCGAATAGATAGGCTACCAGCTAAATAGGAGGAGCTACAGGAAATTAAAGCAGGATTGTGCTATTCAGTAGTGAATTATTGCGAGCGTCGTAATTTAATGAAGAAACTTGTCTTGCGTTGATTTAATATTATGTAAGGGAAGGAATAAGGAAGTATTATTTATTGCCATAAATAAATATTTAATAAAGCAATTTGAGTAGCTTCGTAATATTTTTGTTCGTCAAAATATCATCTTACTATTTTTTAGACGGTCTCATTGCCTTGTACCTATTTATGTTTGCAGTGCCGGGTGTTTTTCTTTTGTTCAAAAAGGTCAACTTTGTTGGTAAGGGTTAAGTTGAATTCATCAAAGAACCACCAAAAACTTGTTTAATGTCGGCCAAGTTCTTATCAGAAACAAAAAGAACTGTGTATTGACACTCACGGTTTGTAAATTTTTCTTCAAGTTTAGATTCAGTACATGTATGTCCAATAAGATTTCCTCTTTACAATTAACCACCTTTCTCAATAGCAGGTAAAGTTCAATAATGCTTTATTGCATTCATGAACTTAACTGTAAATTTTACAATTTTCATATATCTTCGGGGAGCAAATTTTATGCGAATAAGTTTCGGAATGAGTAAAAAATTAAACAGGATAGTCTGCAAGTTTTTGGACTTCTCTGTTTTCTCGTGGGTACACTCAAAATAGTTTCGGATAGGTTATCAACCTACCTTGAGAAAAATTAAGACAACTTGTAGTAGTCTAGGTCTACTGGCCGCTGCAGACTAAGGTATCTTATTTTTCGACTTTTCTGCAGCGGCGCAGGATTATTTACATCCTAAATGCCCAGCGATGACAAAAAGAAGCGTTACTTCATATACACAAAGGTTACAGAAATCAGGTCCAAAGTTAAGCAGAATGTGAGCCTATCTTATACGGAAACAAGTGCTCATCTTTTGTAGCAAGCTGCAAATATATACAAATATTTAAACAGAGGTGAGCAGACCTCCGACTATACTGCGCTAAAGCTTGAGTGCTCACTCAGCAGGATGCAACTTCCGGAGAAAGGAGAAACCAGAAACGATAAAAGATGTAGCGCATCATTAATGTGATAGAAACCTTCCAATAACCGCTATAAGTGGAAATGAAATTAATAGTTACTTATTTAAAACAAGGAACTTAATAATCGGGATATAGGAACCTAATCATCGCGATTTCATCTATTTTAATCTACAATGGCGGGAAGGTTGACACTATTAGAGTTATTACAACAGATTTCATCCCTGCATAAGTTTCAACTGCTTACTTTCAACGTATTTTAGCCCAACATCATCGAATATGAGCCAGTGCTGTAATTAATATTTTTACATTGAGTCTAACCCAACAATGGTGTCAATAATAATAAGTGAATTAAATTTTTCGGTTTTCACTTTCAGATAAAGCAGATCTCATATATGGTAGACTGAACGTCTTCGGACCCAGAAGAAATACATAAATAAATATAATCAATTTTTGGTTACATAAGATGAACAAGTAGAACTGTATAAGACAAAGTTCACTCATATTATTCTTCAAAATGAAATTAATAAAAAAAAAAGCGGAGTGCAATTTCTTTTTTCACAGTCAATCCTTGTCTTTAGACGTCCTTCATATTCGCACTTAGTAGCCGTTATTGTTGTTTATAGTCTTAGCTAGCATTTTGAATTCTATTGTTGAGATTTTATTTTTGTGAAAAAGAACATTTTGTAGGTCGGTAACACACAATTACATATAAACAATACGTATGTTTGTTATTCCAACATGAAAGCGGTAGGTTGCATGGGTCGTTACGTTAATGGGCCCCAGCAATTCAAGTTAATTTATGTGCATGGAAACCCATCAACAACAAGCACCAAACAACAGTAACGACAACAATACCGGGAAGTATAAGAAATAGTACAGCAGCCTCTTTTTATTATGAACGAGTATTTACACTAGGATGTGTGTGTGTGTACATATTCTGCTAAAGATGGCGCTTGTGCTTTACAACAAGCTGTTTGGCTAGTAAAAAGCGTACAATATGCGCCTTAGTCACGGTAAGACACAAAATGGCATGAGATAATGCACCAAGAACGTCGGCAAAAAAGCCGCAATCCTTCTAGGCGACTAGGCGAACATCAAACACTTTTACAACTCACATAATCAAGTGTAACTTCACCGGCAAAAAAGCAACATGGGTAATGGTGCAACAATAACAACAGGTAGCCATAAAAAAAAATTTATTACACATAATTAAGCATAATAAGAATTATATGTATTTGCTAAATGAGAAGAGTCCATTTTATGACATACCTTTTCTCTAGAATCTCTTCCTTGTTTGTTGTATAATTTTGTTATTTCAATAATTTACGTGTATAATTTATTTATTTTTTTTTATTAAAATCGTCGAAACTTTTCGTAGAACTGCTGGGTGCTAGAAATAAAAAAGAAAATATTATTTTATTAACGTTTTGTTTTTTATTTAAAATAAATGATTTTGAAGAAAATGTGTTTATATTTATATATTATATTTTTTCTTCAATAGTTTATAGCTAATGAGAAAAATAATCATGGCAAAACATTGACAGTTTGATCAAAAAACCAGCCTAATATTGTAGTTGGGCCAAATTAAATTTTTTTGAATCTATTTTAGAAACTTTTACATTTTAATCGTAGGTTTTGATAGTCACATTTCTTTCGTTGTACCTAAAACGCTGCCAATGCTCAACAGATTTATCAATTAACTGAAATGAACTCTAATACCCCACAGATTTGTCAGATTCAAACTTTCTTGCTGTGAGTACTCTAGCACTAGTGACGTTAAGTTAGTGACAACCATATGTCCAGTTATAAATTCAAAAACTAACTTTGAAGCTTTACGTAATCAAAAGCAGTTTTCTTACAAGCGAATTCGTGCCAGGTTAGAAAGGCATCGATGGCAATGATATAGTGGACGAGATTGCCCAGAATGGTGTACTGCTGTCATCCGACAGTCTGACCGCCACTGGTAAGCCAATGCATTGTTTTTACGACGATCTGTAAAATAGCATGGCAAAGAAAAACAAAATTCGATGGAATGATCTATCATGATGCAAAGCAGTAGATCAAAAATATACAAAGTTCCTGCTCACTTTGGATAGAAAATACTGTAGAAACATGATTGGAGTACTCACTGGTCACAGTCTGGTGGCGGCATACGCCTGTAGAATGGGGCTGAAAGATCAAGATGACTACAGTAAATTTCAAGGGCAAGGCACCAGTGAAACAATGGATCACTTCTTGTACACTTGTCCCGCACTAGTAAAGCCACGCTTCAAACATTGAGGGGCTCTATGGTATGAAATACTGGAAGAGGTGTCGATAGTGAGGCAGCAAAACCTATTAAAATTCACGTCAAGCGCTTGCATTCTAAAGAATGAGTACTTCTAGTGAACTACTAGGCTCACGAACCAACCAATCTAACCCAACCAAAACTTTTGGCTTTAATTAACATTTTATCTTAAAAATAAAATTTTTAATATCAAACCATATGTTTCGCTATGTAGGTCTCATATATGCAATATAATGATTTTCGCGTTTTTGATTGATTGCAATCTATTCACAATTTCGTTGAATATCGAATGTTGAATTCATGTCCAATATATTAGACTATAAAGTTTTGCATATAAAATATTTCCTTCTCTTTGAGCTTAGAAGATAATGAGGGTGTTAAGTACGCACTTAGCGCTTTCTACTTATTTTTCTGCTGACGATTTTACTATATGAAAATAAAATTCCTGTTGTTTTTAATTCAGACTAAACTTTTGTTTGTCATCGATCTTTAGCTAAAGGAGCTCTTAGGATGATTGCAGTGTCAAAAGTTCAAAATAAATATGATTTTTAATCATTGATTAATATTCATAAATATTCCCAGACTTTGTGATGTGAAGAAAATAAAGTAAAATATGGTGATTGTGTGCAGTACTTGTATATTTTAGTAAATTGATATACCAAAAATAAAATAAAAAATATTTATGGGTAATACATTTTTCTCCTCTAAAACACTTTTACGGTGCCTTAATTATTTGCCACTTATCTAATCTGGGTTTTTATCACTTTAAACCCTATTTCAAATTGGAAAATATATATAAGGGCACACTTACATATGTATATGACAGAGCAAACTCTTATATAACAGTATTATATAATTGTATTTATATAGACGTATGCGTGTCGAAAAAAAAACACAATTCGAATTGACTTTCCAGCAATTGAAACAATTTCAAACTTAATTTATTTAACTTATATTTGTTTTGCTACGATTTTTTTAAAATGTGTTTACAAACACGATTATTTATTTTTTTTTTGATATATCCAGTGGTATTATGCTTAGAGTGATGTGCGTGTACATATATTTGATTGTGAGTGTGCTTAACGGATTATAAGAAAGGCGGTAAACGAGCGACATATACGCCTGTCGCAAGTGGCATTCGTGCTGCTTAGGCTGTCTTTCCTATATATTGTAAATAGCTCTTATATAATTATACACATTTATATGCATGTGTAAAGCAATTGGGTTACGGTCGCTTTAAAATAATGCCCTTAGGTTAAATGGCAACTAACTTGAACTTAACGATGCTTCAAGGATGCCATTATAACCCTGGTGTAGGGAGAGAGAAAATAAGTGCTCATTTTATATTATTTACAATAAAGGCAGGAAATAAATACTTACGAAATGAAACGAAGCTTGCTGATTTATTTATATAAATAACTACTTGTACAATTAGAGCTTTCGAGTTGTCAAAGCATTAAATTTTTTAAGTAAATAAAAGTTGGTATTATTGACATTAGCTTAACGGTAAACAGCATATAATCAAGCTGTTAAATTTAACTTATAGCATAGTTACTTGCTCTGTTTTCTCAAGGATTATTTGTTACTAGTAGCTGAGAGGTGAACATCAAGAACAAAAACTACTTCTCAATGTCTTTATATTCAGTAATAAGACTCTCAATTATTCCTATCGTCCGAATATATCATCATTTAATACACTACAATATGAATATCTATAAATTAAGCAAAAGTTTTCATTCTATGGCTAGAAAGGTGAGCTCAGCAAAATAAAGAACAAACTCATGATATTTGTTTTTCCAGAACAGAAAAGGGTTTCTTTCTTTCACAAGCCAAAATACAATGTTTTCTTCATACAAGGCGACTTTAAAGCCTTAGTAGACGAGAGTAACGTTTGCAGTATTATAGAACACCTGTTAGTTAGTTATCATATCACAAGATTGATCGGAAGCTGCAATCGGCAAATGTAATATAAATTATCCAAACATCACCACTGTTCTCTGAGAGCAACTCTATAATAGTGAGCACCAAAGAGCTAATGGGTGTCAGAGAGCTCAGGGTAACAATTTGTACGATTATGATTTGTGGAAAAAAATTTACTGGACATTTCAAATGATATTTCGTTATATAACTCTGTGTATGAATAGCTTATTTATCAACAGCTCACCTTCATGGAACCCTTCTACTCGTTGGAATATTCTTAAAATGCAATTATTGTGGTTTGCTTCAGACGCGTTTTTTTTTACACTAACAATTTTTTACATAAACAAATTTAAAGTCTAAAGCGATGTTCTTTGATCGATCAAACTACCTCATCGTGGTTCGAAGCTAAATTGTCCGTAAATGCTTAAATTGAATATTTAGGTTGTTGCATCTTTTTGTCGATTTTAAGCTGACAGCATCTTTTCATGAGAATAGATTAAAAATTCTGCTCGCTTCCTGCCAACTGAACTACGTTTAAAAAGTCTCAGTTAAACCTTTTTTTTATAAACATACATTTTTTTTTGGTATAAAGCTGGAATTATAATCTGTTTTCTAAACTCAATAAAATAGGCATTCAGTTTTTTTTAGAAGTAATTATTGAATATAATGTAGCACATATGTTTTAAAGCATTTGATAAATTCTGAATTTTGGTTTTATTGGGAGAATAAATTTAATTACCCCAAAGATATGAGCGTATTTTTTTCATATAAAATATCTTTCTGTGTCTTTATTTCACTTTAACCACACTTCAGCTTTTTCTGCAATGTGCAAACACATAATTAACCACATTACTCATACGCTCTGTTGACCCATTTAAGAACAAGATGAAGTACCACATACGCTCAAATATTTTGCCTTGCTTTTGCTTTATATTTAAAATAAAGGCGACGAAAAAAGCTTAGTGAAATATAACACATTCCTAAGGCTTTCAGTATTTCCTCTTTCGCTTTCGTGGCGTGTCGCAACACCCACAACAGTCAGTGGCAAATGTGGGAGACTTTTGTAAGGAATTCATTTAAGCCGCAGAAGGCAAGCGCAAAACATGGTAGGTAAGTGAAATTCTTCTACAATTTCTTTTTCAATCTTTTTCCGTTGCTTTTACCGTAGCTTTATATGTAACATAGCGGTTTTTGTATGAAATTGTTGCCTGTTGCACATATCATATACACATACAATCAAGTGACATATGTACAAACTAATTTTGCCACTACTCTTGCATGCGGCTGTCGTGGCAAATACTCGACTAAATTATATACAGACAAGTGCTTAACGGGAGTTGCATGCGCAAACACACACACCCACCTATATATAGAGATATATATATGTTTATTTATATACGATGTCATGTGTAGGTTTTTAATTCAGTTATCGGCTTACCCAGTTTGATGAGCTTGTCAAGCACTTCTGGGTATGCAAAGAAGTGGGTTAAGTGGATTTACATTCCTACGTCTTGCGCTACAGCAAGCCTATACACATACTTTTATATGTACATACAGCTTTATATATGTATAATATATATATTTCTTGTTCGTTGCCACTATTTTTTGCCATGCACTCTCGAGCTCTTTTTAGCAATTCTTATTTTTGTCACTTTTTGTTAATTTTTTTTTGTGTTGTCGTATTGTTTTTTTATTTGTTTTTCGTCACTTTTGTGCTATATTTTGGTTCCCTACGTATGTTAGCCAGCTTTGTTTACTTTTTGATCTACTGAATATTTTTTCTGCTTTTTTTCATATACTAACTTTGGTTATTCACTGGTAATGTACAAATTGGCGCACACTTGCATGTCTTCATACGTGGAGACCAATTTCAAGAAAATATGCATGACTTTGTGACTCAATTGACACCCACATGCCAATTATAAGATTCTTTTATTTTTAAGCTAACCCAAATTGAACTCGGCTCAGCACACACTTGTCACGTAAGGTTTTTTTTATGCAACTTGTCATTATTGTGGAGCAGCCGGGACTTGCTCTCAATGTTCGGAATTTTAAGATAATATTTATGCTATGTAACTATAATTTTGCATGTTCAGTTTTAAGTTTCTGAAAAGTGGGTGCGTCAGTTCTTTCTGATATGTTTATGGAACATATCTTTCAAAATTATGAAACTTTTTTACCAACA